GGAAGAATAACTTTTGGTAATGAACATGCATAGGTGACTAGTAAGGCTCGTGATAACTTCTGCAGTTATAAGACGCGTGATACCAAAGATATATTAGATAATATGAGGTCTATGCGTAATAACCATATGATACCATACATAATTGACCCCTATTATTATTTGGCAGGCTTAAGGGATGGAATCAAATATTTTTTTCAGATTTATAATATAAATAGGACAAATATTATAAAATGGGCAAGTGTAAGGGTTAAAAGAATTAAATATTTGTACCTAGACATGTTTAATAGAAAAGGAGTTAATATTGTTACGCAGGTTTTTGGTATCTCAATTTATTTCAACTCAACTTTTACAAGAACTATAACTGATAACATTAACCTATAACGTCGATCATAAAAACTGAAAACTGACGTCAAGATCATCATAGCTTGACCCTTCTTGAACCTTCTCGAACTGTCGTCTATAATTTTCTTGACAGATAATGACATTTCCAGACATTTCTGGACTATTCTATCTTCTTTTAATTGTACTTTTACTTATGACGACCGCAGCACACTATAGGGCGATGAGTAACATTCCACTTCTTTTTCCATTCGTACTATTCCTATAATAGCCGCAGGCTACTGCAGGGTGCTGCGTAACAATATGTTTACTAATCAAAAGGCGACATGGAATGGTTTTTAATTCATATCATATTTCTGATTATTAAATATTTGGTTTGTGTGATCTTTTGTGTATAATAGCAATGGTCTATGGGGAAACAAAAGATATATTATATTTTAACGTTGATGAGGGTAGAAAGTTTATTAGTTATGTGAGAATGAATATATAACATGGACAGGTAGTCGCCTGTATTTATTTAGATTTTAACTCTCGGATTACGAAACAATGCATTGACTTTACTCCTCAACAATAAGGAAATATTTGGGATAACTAATTAAAAGAGTTATGTAACCATATATCTCGTTCGCTTTAGTATTAAAACAGAGTTTTGGAAGACGATTTTAATCGATATATCGTATTTATAATTAATTTAATAAAACTAAAAAGTAAAAAATACTGAAGAAAAAAACTTATTTACTCAATACGATGTCCATCAATTATGAGTAAAGATTATTTGTATATACCTACAAATTAATTTGTATAGCTATTCAAATAAAAACCTTTCGTATATTCTGAGGCACAAAAATACCGCAATACTGCAATAATTATACCGAATATTAAAATTTGCGAAACTTCATTGAAATTTCCAATTAATCGAAAATTTCAAGTTCTCATTAAAACTGAGTTTTTAGAAGTATATTTATAGGGTAGGCATTACATTCAAACTCAATCTAAACTCTCAATCAGTTGATAATTAAGAAAGAAAAATCATAATTGCGTCTTCTTTAATTATATATCTATGTCTGCCAGGTGAAGTTGATTTGGGTTCAGAATTTCATCATCCTCCTCTTATCTTTTTTCAATAATGAAAGAAATTGCTTCCAAGGAAAAACTGAATTAATTTATTTTTATGAGCATCTTTTCTCTGAAAAACTAAAAATATCGGTGGAAACAAAAAAGGTAGAGTAATTTTCCTTCCTCATCTACTTACATTGGAGTGTTAAGGGCGAAATGCGTGTAATTCTTGGAATAAAGCAGTCGTTTAAAGTTTTGGGTTCAGACCAGACCGTCAGAATGTTTTTGAAACAACCTTCCTTGAGATACCTAGTTTTTATTCCCGTGCTTAAAGTAAAGATATTCGCCTTGCGTGAAACATAGTCTTACAAGAATTAGAATTATTATATGTATTTTAGAGAAAAATATACAAACTATTAAATTAGAAAAAAAATACATCTAAGTAAAATAGTGAAGTTTAAAAATATATGTAAATAAATAATAATAATAATAATTATGGAATTTTTTTACATGGGAATATAAAAATAGAATACTGGTGCAATCAGTGGCGAAGTCTAGCTATTATAGCTACTCCTGCTTAACCACTGAAACACCAATGTATAAAAAAAAACGAACAAAACAAAAACAAAACAAAATGTATTTGCAATGGAGCAAAAATTCCAATAATTAATTTGTATGTTTTCTTTTTCTATATAAAGTTAACCCTTAACTCGTGATGTGGTGCCACTGGCAACCCCAGAGAATATCCGAGACCGCATTACTCCTAGACGCATGCGCGAATCTAGACCGCCGCTTCAGTACCTTCGGCTTCAAGTTGATCACTTGTGAGTGTGATGCTAACAAACAAATTCACGTCGGTTGTCTGCATAATATTCGCAATATAGATAAGTAAAGCCAACGTGGGGTCTCTCGCGACCCCGTGTCACCAGTTGCGTATTTGTTTTGCTAATGTGGGTGGTATCTTTTTCTCAGAATAATGTTGAGTAAACCTAAAGTAGTTCGGTATGGAGACTCGAATTTTGAAAATACACTACTAAGGTGGTCCGAGGAAATCGAAAATGAAGATGACGCAAATGAAGAGGACCCCGGTCAACAAAGTGATTGCTTGGACGAAGAAAGAAACTTAGAAGATATCGTACAGAGTGAAGATACAACTACTGACACAAGTTACTCTAGCGATGATGATGATGAGCTACCAGAAGAAACTACGGATTCAGAATATAACCGAGTTTATTATGGGAAAAATAGATTCAAGTGGTCTCAAACTGAGCCTACGCGGAACAGAAGAACAGAAGCCCACAATATTGTTAGGTTTCTTCCAGGACTGAGGGGGACCCATGAGAAATTTGAACAATGCAGATCCATATAATATTTGGAAGCATTTGTTTAATGATGAAATGATAGAGGAGATCGTAAATAGGACAAATGAAAAATTTAGCAGGGAACGGACAAAATACAAGAGAGAAAATAAACCTGAAATGAACGACATAGATATAATTGAACTGAAAGCTTTCTTCGGCCTACTTTATTACTGCGGGGCCTTCAAATCAAATCACGAGCACTTAGATGCTCTGTTTGCGACGGATGGAACTAGTCGCGACATATTCAGAAACACAATGTCGCTCAAAAAATGTTTGACCATTTTATCTCATTTGAGATTTGACAGTGCTGATGACAGAATCATGAGAGTACTTGGAGACAAAGCTGCAGCGATATCCGGCCTATTTGACAAATTCGTTAGTAATTCACAGCAGTGTTACTGTGTAGGCCATTATGTGTGTATTGATGAGATGCTGGTAGGTTCCAGGGGCAGATGCCCCTTTCGTATGTATATGCCCAATAAACCGAATAAGTACGGGTTGAAAATTATGATCTTAGCTAACGCACGAACATCATATTTGTATAATGCATACATATATACTGGAAAAAACAGTGATGGCCGCGGACTTCCTGATGCCGAGAGAAAATTAGCTGTGACAACGCAATCAGTGTTGCGATTATGCAAACCAATTTACGGAACTAATATAAACATTACTGCCGATAATTGGTTTTCACCCTATGAATTGGTTCAGTCTCTAAAAACACACAATTTGACATACGTTGGGACAGTCAGAAAAAACAAGCGAATGATACCCCCAGAGTTTCAACCCAATTTAGCTAGAACAGAAAAGTCTGCTTTTTATGGATTTACTGCTGATATGACCTTATTGTCGTACGTTTCAAAAAAACGAAAAGCAACTATCATGATATCGTCTATGCACCACACCATCAATACTGATCAAGAAATCCAAAAACTAGAGATTATAGCATTCTATAATTTGACTAAGGGTGGCGTTGATAGTCTAGACCAGCGCTGTTCCAACTACAGCACTAGTAGAAGGACAAGAAGGTGGCCAATGGCAGTGTTTCATACCATACTTGACATCGCGAGTGTAAACGCATATATACTATATGGTTGTTTTAGAAGTAATGACAACATGTCTAGACTAAATTTTATAAAAAGGCTGTCGTTTCAATTGGTTGAAGAACATCTCAATAGAAGACTTCGAACCTTATATCTACCGCGAGAATTAAGACTCTCTGCTAGCAGAATATTACAGAAACCTCTAACTGAAATTAGAAACGTAGCTGAGGAAGTCAACAATAAAAGAAGACGTTGCGGAAAATGTCCTAGAGGAGCTGATAAAAAGACATTGTGTAAATTATGTAATGTAGCAATATGTGCAAATTACACAGAAAAAATTTGCAAAGATTGCGTTAATAATTAGAATGTTCATATGTTGTGATTTTTTCATTAAATATTTTTCTGCCATCTTTTTTTTACTTTTTATTAAAGTAAGGTGTTTATTTTAATTTTTGGTATGTTTTATATTTCTATGAATGTTTTTTAATTGCTTTTTAAACATTTACAAAATACTTATCTTTTTTCTTAGCATAACACTTTAAGCACAAAACAAATTATTGTTTTATAAAATATTAATAAAGGACCACGCACTTTTCTTATGCAAACGGGAGTACCGTCAAAATGTCTGAATTTTTGATATGTTAAATAACTTGATGTCCCCATCAAAAGTATCCATGGGCCCAATAGTATCCTATGACTAGATTTTGAGATACAGGGTGTTGAAGTTAGAAATCCCTAATTCTTTAAAATGGACACCATAAATCACCCTTAAATATTTTTGAAATTTTTGTGCTCATTCTGTGTAGTCAAAATACATACTTAACTACTATAATTAAAATATTGTACCTTACAGGGTGAATAATGATTCGGCAAATCTTTTTTTTTCAAAGTAGGTATTCCCACCTAGAGATGCATCAAATCAAGCTAGTTTGATTTGACAAGTCAAGTTTGATTTGACTTGAAAAATCATTTTTTTTTATAAAAGAGTTTGATTTGATTTGAAAATCAATTCGGAAGCTTGATTTGAAATCAAACTTTTTCAAACTGTTTGAAATACGAAAAGTGTTACGTACCGCCACCGGCCGTATCGCATTTTTAATTTCTCAACGTTACGCAATGAGACGTAGCAGGGATACAGTATCCCGGCCAGTTATCTCTGATCCCGTCTGACGAGACGTCGTCGTAAGATTATTTGTTTCAGTTTTATATTTTGCCAAGCGCCGGAGGTACAAAACACAGCCAAAGGCTTACGCTGCGGTTCAGAATTTATCCCTGATAAAAATGAATATGATTCTGAAGACGATGATGCGGCTATTCAACAAAACGATTTATTAACAAAATCAGCCCTCCAAAGCCAATGTAAAGATTCCGAAAATTTTGATATAGATGTTATAGCTTTCTTTCAAACATCTTGTATTAAAAACCCAGACCCAGTCGATAAAAATTTCTGGAAATATGAAATTACAAAATATTTATCTGAAGGCAGAGCTGGCTAATAGTTCAGAAAATGTATTGAATTGGTGGAAGTGGCACGAGACTGTATTTCCAATATTATCTAAAATGGCTAGAAATTTTTTATCCGTACCTGCTACATCGGCATTAATAGAGAGGATTTTTTCAAGAACTTCTCTAACAATTAACTAACGAAGGAATAGACTAAATGATGAATCTGTTAGATGTTTAATGTCTTTAAATTCTTGGACGGCTAATAGAGTTTTAACAGACCTTATTTCAACATTAAAATGAAGAAAAAATAAAAATGTAAATCAACATTTTGATATCCAACGGCCATAAAAAAATCAACATTTATAATTTGTGAATCAAGATTTCTGTTCTATTTTAATATCCAACAAACGAAGTATAAATACTTTTTTTTTCATGTATTAAGCAGCTTTTTTTTATATTCAAAAGGAAAGACTTTTTAAATAATAAATGCAAAGCGCTTTCGACATTGTGCCAACATCAGTGCTTATTGTCCACAAACAAGCATATCCACCAACAGACTGTTTCAATGTGACAGTGGTGACAAGCGACACTTAAAGACGTTGAAATGTCGCTTGTCACAACTGTCACATTGAAACAGTCGGTTAAACAATATTAAAATGAATGTATAAATCAATTTAAATTTGAAAATATTACCAATAGTAATAATTAGGATTTAGCAAGTTGTGAATTTCCAGAAATATTTAATTTTGGGAGCGAGGATGACTAAGAATTTGGTGGATATGCTTGTTTGTGGACAATACGCCCTGATGATGGCACAATGCCAAAAGCGCTTTGCATTTATTAATTAAAAAGTTTTGCACGAAATACAAGTCTTTCCTTTTGAATCTAAACTACGTCAACCTGTCAACCTTTTTTGGTTATTTTAATTTTTTATATTCATACTAATAAAATACTTGCAAACCGCACCGATTTAATTATTCAAACTTTCAAACTAGTTTGATCAAAGGTTTGATATTTCAAACTTTAAAATTTTATGGTTTGATTTGATTTGATTCACAGCATTGCTAGGTTTGATTTGAGTTTGATTTGAATTCAAATCAAATTCAAGTCAAACTCTTAAAATCAAATCAAACTCATGCATCTGTATTCCCACCGAACAAAAATAGCTAAAATACAGAAAAAAAAATCACCGTCAAAGTCTCTCAATATTTGATATCATATAGTACTCGATGTACTCGTTTAAAATTCTTATTGGTAAAATTAGATCCTATGACTAGTATGTATTTTGACTACACAGAATGAGTAAAAAACTTCCAAAAATATTTAAGGGTGATTTATGGTGTCCATTTTAAAGAACTAGGGATTTCTAACTTCAACACCCTGTATCTCAAAATCTAGTCATAGGATAACGATTGGGTCCATAGACACTTTTGATGGGGACATAAGTTATTTAACATATCAAAAATTTAGACATTTTGACGATACCTACTCCCGTTTGCATAAGAAAAGTGCGTGGTCCTTTATACTATCTTGACACATGACTGACACATAATAAATAATGAGAAAGTCTCAAAAAATTACGAATTACGTGTTTTTTTCTTCTTTTTTGAGGATTTTTTCTTGGGTACTCAGGGCCCCCACGTCACTAGCTACGTAACAAATAAACCGCGTTACCAGTTAAGGGTTAAAAAATAGTAATTTAAAATGAAATAAAAAAGTAAAAAAAAACTAAAAAGGTCAATTAAATCCAACCCATCAAACACTGATGGCGGAAACTTGTCGGCCGATGATTAAAATTATGGTACAAATATATGGCAATCAAACAATGCATAATAAACAGTTTAGATTAACGTTTAGAGCCATATTTACAATCATTTGCACATTTTTACTGCATATTAAGTGGCAATTAATGTTATTTCAATCATACTTTTCTCAAGCGTGTTTTAAGTACATTTTTTCACCTGAGCGAACAGTAACATTTTAAATTACATTATGTTTGCCGGGCCAGCACTACTATGTATATGGACTATGCGATTCGATTAATTTCACAATGTTGGTGCTGGTATATCTGCCGGAAAAAAATGTTACACAACCTGCGTGGGCTGTGTCTTGTCAAATCAAAAATTTATTTGGGTGTGGCGGCTGTGGCGAGTTGTGACTTTCCGATGATTTGTTTGGCTTTATGAGAAAACTTTGTAAGAGCTAATAATATATAAAATGGAAGAGAAACCGTAAGTAGAACATATTATTATTTATTATGCTAACTGACGCATATCTCGCCGAATATTGCACGAGGGTAAAGTTACTATTTAGAGGTTAGTTTTAAAATAACCGGTATAAGCTGATTTAACCTTAAACATTATTAGAAATTGCATCTGAAAATTAAAAATTAAAAACTCTGTTTTAGTCGATTATGGTAAACATAAAAATCAGATGTTTAAGTAGAAGACCCAAAAACAAAAAAGATAAAACTTGTACCAATAAGTGTATGCACATATTGTGATAAATTTAATGGTAAATAATTTTTGCCAATAAAATTAATATTTTATTGAAACTCTTAAAACAATGTACAAACTTATTTATTTTTTAAAACTACCTCTCAAAGTGAAGAGTCAAATAGATAACCTTAAATATTTAGTACTTTTGTCACGTCACAAAAAAGTGCCGATGTTGAATAAGGAACCATTTAACCCTTTCAGTTCCAATGAGTCATATATGTCCCAGAAGATGTTTACAGAAGCCTAGAGGAAATTTTGCGCTATTAATTCATTCCGCGTTGTGTCCCACTGGTAATATACCTTATTTCTTTTATTTCTACCCGAAAATAGCAGCGTGAATATTCGGTTCCAGCGGTTCAGTGCAATTATTTACTCTATAAGGAGAGCACCTGTTGCGCGTTTTAGCTTGTTTGTATCGTGTTTTTTTTTGTATATTCTAAAATGTGGAGGTAAGTTAACTTAATAAATTATTAAATATTTTTTGTATGTAAAGTTGGTGTAAAATCCGTTAATGGGACATATATGTCTCAGTGATATTACCATGTGGGATGTATCTGTCCCAGTCTTATAAGTAAAATGCGTTTTTTTTTTTCAGAAATAAACTTTTGTCTAAGATTGAGTTGATGGAACTGGCCAAAAATTTCTCTGATATGGAAGACGAACCGTTTGTTGATAGTTGTTCAGAGTATGCCCAGTCATCTTCAAGGGCCTGAAGTGATGAGTTTTTGGGACTATCTACAAGTAAAAAGAAAGAAAGGAAAATCCCAGCGAAATTCGAACCAAATAAAAAATTATATTCCGCAAAAAGTTCTTCCACATCAAAAGGTTCTTCATCAGACGCTTTTGTTGTAGACAACAATTTTGTTCCAAGATTACGTCTTCCAAATAAGAAACCTACTGCAGTTCTGGCAAAACTTGATAGGTCTTCTTCAAACTGTTTCCTAAGAGCCTTTTCCTGAAAAAACCAACGGAAGGTTAGAAATATTGCAAGACAAAAAGAAAAAGCCGAAACAGAAAACTGATCAGTATGAAACAATGATAGTATTTGGCTGTTGCTTCATAATGTCGTACAATAAAGTACCTGAACAACGTCACTATTGGTTTACTAATACTTCACTTGGCAACACAACAATCAAACAAGCCACTTCTAGAAATAGATTTCAATTTCTTTCTTCAAAACTATATTTTAAATCCCCAAAAAAGCCAGATAGTAGCAAAAAAAGTAATTATATGGAAGAAGTACTTTCGTGTTTGAAACAAACTTTTCTAGCAGCAAGAAGTGAAAGTACTTTTCAAAGTATCGACGAGGCTATGTCAAAGTTCAAAGGAAGAAGCAGCCTGAAGCAATACCTTCCCCTAAAGCTTATCAAAAGAGGCGTGAAATCAGTTAGATATCATTCAAAAACTGGCTACATATATGATTTGAACATATATTCGGAAAAAATAAAAATAGAAATCAAAATTCAACTCTAGGAGAAGATATTGTCCTGAAGTTAGCAAGTACCATTCGAGATACGGATGTCAGCCTACGTTTTGACAGATTTTTTACAAGTACTAAACTTATCAATACGTTGTCTTTTGTGGCAACTGGTACATCAGAAAAAATATGCCAAAATAGACAAACAAGAGAACAGGGTGAATCTCAGTTCATGTTCAATCAGTAAGGCATTATGTGCAGTTTCATGAAAAGAGACTAAAGATGTCATAGTGCTTTCTAATTGTCATACGGCTGAAATGACTGAGGTGAAGAAAAAGGCCAAAGATGGTACTCGAAGAGAAATTCCTTATCCGAAGACGATTGAGTGTTATAATAAATACATGGGATGAATTGATCTTTCAGATCAACTTGTTGGCCTCTATGATATGGACAGAAAGACGAGTAAATAGTGGAAAAAAGTTTTCTATCGGCTATTGATGACAGCTGCTGTAAAAAAGTTTTTTGGATTATCTGGTTTCTCTGGCTGAATTTCTAATAAGTTATGATCGACAGCATGCAAAGGTGGTACGCCGATGACAATATAGTAGGCCATCAATCAAGTTTCAGGCTTATGACTATAGGGGATCACTTACCTATCAAAGGGCCCACTAGAAGGAGATATCATCACTGCACTAAGAGAAAGCAGGAAAAAAAACCACAACAATTTGTGCGGCTTATAATGTACCATTGTGCAAAAGCTGTTTTACTCCCTGTCACACCTAGTTTATGATAAATAAAAAAATCCATAGGTTTTGTTGCGTTGTTAGAATAATAATTATCAGTGGGATATCTATGTCCCCCCTTTTAAAACCATTGGGACAAATATGTCCCGAGCCCCCAAGACTCCCCCACTTCAAAATATAAATAGGAATTTTATAAGGAATGGTAAATATGTTAACTACATTATCGAAATCGAAATCTTTCATTTCCCTTCCTTTCTTCTTCTGTCTTACTTTCTCCTCTTCTTTTACCCTTAACCATTTCCAAAACAGTAATCTTGCTATCCTAATAAATTAATAAGTACTAATTTATTTATTTTTGCAGATGTTTAATGTACCCCATGTAAATGTTCGAT